CGGCGTCGGCGCCGGGACGGCCAGGCGGGTTTTGTAGAGAACTGTTTTGGCCCGGCCCGGCCCGGGTGCGGGGGACGCGGGGCGCGGTCCCCGCGGGGCCGGGAGGAGGAGGGGCCCAGTAAACCGTGCTCACTGCTGCCTCTCCCGCCTCTGCTTCCTTTCCGTGTCGGGGGGTGCGGGGTGGGTTGGGGCTCCACGAAGAACCCAGAAAGCAGCGGCCGCCACCCGGCCTCCCGCGCCGCGTGGGGGAGCGGGCGCCCGGTGCAGGGCTGCCCCGCGGTCCTGGGGCCCCGAGTTCAAGTTCCAGGGCCGCCCAGACCAGGGTAGGCGGAGCCAGCGTCCCTGCTGGGGTTCGCGCCCCGGCCGCTCCTGTTCGCGGCAGGTACCCCTCAGACTGTGGGGTGAAGTCCTACCCCCACCCCCAATAAAAGCAAATCCAGTGTCCTGACGTTTGCTTCCGAAGCCAGAAGGAACTGATCTGGAGAATTCTCAGCGGCTGAATCGCACGCTCTGCTTTGCTGTCTGTCCCCTGACCGTCCAAACCGGTGTCCCCCCCGCGGCCCGGAGCGGCCTGCCAGCCCCAGCGTCAGCGCCCCCGCCCGGGGCCCCACCCCGCTGCCCTCTCCTACAGCCCGGAGGGCCCGGGCCCAGGGCCCAGGCAGCTTGAGGGTTGGCTGGTGGCTCAGGCCTGCAACCCTAGCGATTTCGGGGTTACGGTTCAAAGCCAGCCCGGGCAGACAAATCCATGAGACTCTTATCTCCAATGAACCACCACAAAGCCAGATGTGGAGCTGTGGCTCAAGTGGTAGAGCACCAGCTTTGAGTGAAAAAGCTCAGGGTCAATGCCCAGGCCCCGAGTTCAAGCCCCAGGACTGGTACAAAAGAAACAAAAGATGGGGTTCGTTGTCAGACACTTTGCCACATGAGTGCCTTACAGGCCCCCTGATACCTGCTCAGGCCTCTGGTCTGGGGGCGGGTGGGGGGATGGGGTGAGGAGGTAGATCACCCTCCCACCTGCTTCTCAAGAAGGCCCAGCTTCCCCTCCTGTGGTCCCGTGGGCTGCCCCATGGCCCCTCGCAGTTCCTAATTCACCAATTCACCCGCTGCTCCCGCTCTTTGCAAGGCCGGGATACTCAGACTGCATCTTCCCACCACTACCTCAAACAAAGCAGAGAGGGAAATAAGAAGAGATTACAGCTCTCAGGCCAGGCCGCAGGAGCTCTGTCCAGGGCTGAAGGCAAATGCTGCCCCCTACCGGCCTGGCTCAGCTCCCTCCCCAGCACCAGCCAGGCTGTGGGGCTCAGCCCCAGGCCATCCCTTCTGTCCCCCCAGCTCCCTGGTTTAGGCTTCACTACCAAGGGAACCCACCCCAAGTACCCAGTGAACGTCAAGCACATCTCTGGGGATCCTTGTGTATGGGATTGTGTGGTCACTGACACAACGCTTGCCCACAAAAATCAACTTGAGGTCATAGATGGAGCTTCTAGAAAGTTCTGAAAGCCCCACCACCACCTCCCAGACTCAGATTGTGCCCTGGCTCTTCCCTCCCACTCCTGGCTCCCATGTCCAGTCTGCGGGGGTGGGGGGAGCCACCTGACACCCCCAAATATATATATGAGCTGATGCCTTTGAGGATGGTGAGGCCAGGCAGCCAGCGCTGGTGCGGGGATCACTGGCCCCGCAGATGCCAGCTGGGGGCTGCGCCTGCGCCAAACACATGAGAACACTAAACCACAAACACGGGTTTGGCTGTTCCATCCAGCACCAACTCACCAGTTCCTCCAAGCTCCGCAGGTAGTGCCCCGGTGCCACCAAGCCTGGAGGAGCCCGTGACCCCTCCCTCCCCTCCGTCCATCCTCCCCCACCGGGTCGCTGCACTCACTCTCCAGAGCAGGACCCACAGCCACCTTTCATGAGGCCGAGGGGGAGGCCAGGCCGGCCAGCCGCACCCAGACGGGCGGGCGAGGGGCTGCAGACACAGCCAAGCTCTGCTCCCAGAAGCCCGGCTGATACGTTGACGGAAGATGACCCTAAGGAAAAACCTGTTGGATTGGGGACAGGCATAGGGGGCAGGGGACTGGGGACAGGGAAGGGCTGGACCCCCTGGGCTGAGGGCCTTGGAGCCCATCTTGAAGCAAGGGGTTTGGCCAAGCACTTGTTACAGTTTTGGGGCAACACAGCGGCAGTTGCTGTGCCTAACACCATTAACTCCCTTCACATGGCCTGGCATCCTTCAGACGTCCTGGGAGGAGGGCCCCAGTGAGCGCCTGCTCCGTCCTCCCTGACCTCTCCCGGCTGGTCTTGCTGGGTCAGCACCTCTGGGAAGGGAGGGCGGGGGGGGGGGTGAGCACGCTTGAATCAGAGTGGTAGCCAGGTCCCTGGTGACGCCCTCAGGCCTGACTGCCACAGGAGGGGCAGGGAGTTGCCCGTGGCCCTGTGGAAAACTTCGACTCTTCCAGACATGGGGAGGAGCAAGCAAGGTCACAGCCAGCGTGGCGCGTGCTGCAGCTCCCAGGCCCAGAGCTCAGGTTCCCCCATCTGCTGCCACACAGCCCCAGAGACAAAGACAAGGCTCCAGGAGGTCATAAGCCAGGACTGAGTCAGCTGACCTCAGCCCCGCCCTGGCACCCTTGGCCTTGGGTTCCTGGAAATTCTCAGTGGAGAGTGGAGGGTCTGCACCGAGGCTCTGGTGTGGGAGTGAGACACCAGAGCCTCTCCCAGGCCACTCGGGGGTCAGAACTGCCCTGGGTTTGAATGAATGACGGCTTAGAAGGAGTGGAGATTAGGAGGGGCGCAGGTTAGGAACCGGCGCTGGTGGCTCCTACTTATAATCCTGGCTGCTCAGGAGGCTGAGACCGGGAGGATCGTGGCTCCCAAAGCTAGCCTGGGCAGAAAAATGGGCGAAATGCTGCTTCTGAAATAACCAGCCAAAAACGCTGGGCTGAGCCGGGCGCAGGTGGCTCACGCCTGTCATCCTAGCTGCTCAGGGAGGCTGAGACCTGAAGATTGAGGTTCAAAGCCAGCCCAGGAGGAAAGGCCATGAGACTCTTATCTCCAATAAACCACCAGAAAGCTGGAAGTAGTGCTGTGGCTCAATAGCAGAGCGCTCGCCTTGAGCTGAAAAGCTGAAGAGCTGAGGGACAGCGCCCAGGCCCAGAGTTCAGCTATGAAGAGCCCAGGCATCCATCAGGCAGCCGGGCTCTGCCCCTCCACCTCCCTCCCCTCCCTTCTGCAAGGAGCCCTAGGGGAGCCAGGCTTCATCCCAATAGCTTGGCTACAGCCAGGGCATGCCTCCCCGCTCCCCCTTCTCTGCCTCCCCGCCCCCCCAGCCCTCCTGGGGACCTGGCCCCACCCTGCCCCGCTGTGCCCTCAGTCCTCCAGACAAACGACTGCTGTGTCAGCAGCCCTCCTGTCATGCCTCACAGTGGCCCCCCTGGGGAGCAGCGCAGCTTCTCCAGCAGGCCTGGGAGGCCAGGGGGGAAGGAAGTTCCCATCCTGCTGCCCTCAAGGAACCCCAGCCCATCCCAGTTCATCTGGGCAGGGAGAGGTAAAGGGGCTGAGGTAGAGAAACATCTCTTCCCTCTTTCTCCTTTGTAGCACACATATCACAACTTGTAGGGAAATTAAAAAAGACAGAAAAGAAGCCGGGCGCTGGTGGCTCACGCCTGTAATCCTAGCTACTCAGGAGGCTGAGATCTGAGGATCTCCGTTCAAAGCCAGCCCGGGCAGGAGAGACCGTGAGACTCCTATCTCCAATAAAACACCAGAAAACCGGAAGTGGCGCTGTAGCTCAAGTGGTAGAGC